GGGGAGCAGGGGGTGGGGGGGAGAAGGGGGGGTGGTGAGACGGATGGGAGGTGCGGTGGGAGGACGAGGGAGGAAGGATGTGCAAGGTGTAGCAGGGAGGAATGGGCGAATGCTGCGCGTGTGAGAGTGCGTGGGGAGCGGTGGTGTTGCGGTTAGCGCGCTGTGCCACGAACCCGGCGACCGGAGTATGATTTCCGCTCACGGCCAACAGCAGTGGGCCTCCCCTAGGTCGACTCGGCATCAAATGAGTAACCGGTGCGGTGAGTAAAAACATCGCCGCTAGGGAGACAAAGGCGGCCGGGCGTGGTGCTGGCCGCCCGCCCGACCCCTCGTGTGCCGTGCCGGCCTTCATAGGTGCTACTCGCTAACAGCACTTGCCCCAACAGTCTGTTAAGGCTATACGGGGGATCTTTGTCCTTGTTTTTCGAGGGAGAGTGGGGTGAGAGGAGGAGGAGGGGTGGGGGGTGTACAAGGAATGAATGGTGACGGGAGGAAGGGGAGCGGTGGGAGGTGGGGAGAGGGGAGGGGGGTGGGGCTGTGTGTGGAGTGGGGAGCGGTGGTGTAGCGGTTAGCGCTCCGCTGCGCTACGAACCCGGCGACCCGAGTTCAATTCCCACTCACGGCCCACACCAATGACGATTATCTGAGCCGGTCCTGAGCCTCCCCTATGTCGACTCAGCCTCAAATGAGTACCTGGTGCGGTGTGCAAACATCTCCGCTTGGGAGACAAAGGCGATCGGGCGTGGTGCTGGCCACCCACCCCCTCGTGTGCCGTTCCGGCCTTCATAGGTGCTCGCTAACAGCACTTGCCCCTACAGTTTGTTGTTGGGGGGGGGCGGCATATTGCTTGGAAGATGAAGCTGCAGGGTTGTATTGAAGGCTGCTGCTGCTGAGCGGAGTGGGGGTGTAGGGAGAGACAGGGGGAGCGTGAGAGAGAGGGGGAGGGAGGGGGAGAAAGGGGGGAAAAGGGGGAGAGAGGGGGAGGGGGGAGGGGGAGAGAGGGGGAGGGGGGAGGAATAGAGAGGGGGAGGGAGGAAGAAAGGGGGAGGGAGGGGGGAGAGGGGGGGAGGGGGAGAGAGAGGGGGGAGGGAGGGAGAGGGGGAGGGATGAATCAGCTGCGCGACTCATCCGCTGTCGCTCCCGCCACTCGCTGTCGCCGGCTCCGACCTCCCCCTCCTGATTGCCTCATAATGAAGCCAATTCACAGCTTCCACCCATCGCGCTCTCTCTCTCTCTATCTCCTCCCTCTCTCTACTCTCTCTACTCTCTCTAACTCCTCCCTCTCTCTACTCTCTCTCTACTCTCTCTATCTCCCTCTGGTTCCCTAGGGCTCTCTCCTTCCCTCCCTGAATGCACTTTTGCAAACGAAGCAGAATGGCATCACGGTGGGATTAATATACTGCAGTTACGTGCGAGTGTGAGTCGTCATTGTCATCATCCGTTTGTTGTCCTTCCCCGCACCTCCGATTAGCACGGTTAGCTACGTACGGCGCAAAAGAAGTTACCCTATACGCAAATTTTTCAGAAGCGACCTGGCCACAAACGATATCTCAACGAAGTGGCTCATCACGTGGACATTTATAGCAGCAAAATACTCTTAAACGCGCGCTTCTAAATTGTGGAGGGAAAAACCGGAGGACCCGGAGAAAAAAATTCACACGACCACGGGGGAGAGAGACACGCAAACTCCAAATATACAGCAGCAGGCGTCAGGGTCGGTATCGAACCCACGACCTCCTGTATACCAGGTGAGGTAGTTAACATCACCTAGCCACCGTGATGATGATGAGAGACGCAAACTCCAACTATACAGCAGCAGGCATCGTCAGGGTCGTGATCGCCACCGTGGCGCCCTTAAACGTACTTACCTGCATCCTCATCGGTCAGAGTCTATCGCCTGCTGGATGAAGTCCTCTTCCGTCATCCGTAACAGTCGCCGTGATGCCACAATGCACGCACCCCCTACTGCATGCGCGCGTGCAGCAACGCAACGGCCTCGGGATCTGTGCTGCTGCCCCTTTGCAGAGGAGCTGTTGAGAGTTGTTCAGCTCAATGGGCCTCGGCGGCTGGAATCACGGCCCAAGGGTTTCACCGCAGATCCACCGACGAAGCATCGGCACTGCATCTCCCCCCCCCCCCCCCCATTAGTGGCACGGAGCTCTCAGTCGGTGTCTGGACGCAGAGACGGCTGGCGCCGATCGAAAACGACACTGCCCACGTGTGCACACAACACGTGTACACACAATACTGCCCACGTGTGTACACAACGCGTGTGCACACAACGCGCGTGCGTTGCGTCAATAATGTTTGGTGTACGGGAGGCCCAGACCTGGAATCTTTCTGACGGCAGTCTCGGGTTAGAGCGAGGGGTCGTCACCCAAAATATTCGGTAAAAAAAAACCAACCCAACAATATTTCAAGAGCCGCAGTGCAACGTGAATAGCGGCACGAAGCAGGGCCGGATTCAGCTAGTGCGGGGCCTGTAGTAGCTGATGTTATAAAGGGGCCCTTCATGAAAAAAAACGCGTAAATATTAAAACAAGTAATTTTTTTATCTGCACAGTAAAGTAATTGTATTTTTTCATTTTTTATACAGCAATATAATGCGACAAATAGCTAACCTAAACACCCAGTCGTTCATAAAAGTTGAAGACGGTATAGTAATATAGTAATAGAGCAAGTGCAGAATCACTGATTGATAGCTTGAAATCATTCAGCGCGGGGCCCTTGAAAGTGCGGGGCTCGTAGTTACTACATATGTAGCAGCTACTGCACAGTAGCTGCTACATATGTAGAAAACTACTACATATCTCTGCCGCGTTGGGCGAGATGCCCACGCTGGTGGGCTGGCCTAATGCGCCTCGCTCCGCTGCGACATTGTCAGCCCCGATGCACGCCGGCCACGCCGGCTCGTGTCGCCCTGAGCCTCCTCTGCGTTGTTGTTGCACCTGGGACGGCGGCTGGGCACGGCTGCCAGGTCGGCCCAGATGCAATCGGCGGCTGCTGCTGTTGCAACTGGAGCACCCGGAGAAAAAGTACACGTGACCACGGGGAGTGAAGACATGCAAACTCTAAATATACAGGTGTCAGGGTTGCGGTAAAACCTACGACCTTCTGTAAACCAGGCAAGGGAGATAACATTTCGCCACCCCAAAATCCCAATTCACCCGCATCCCCGTGTTTGCTGTGGCCGCTGCTGCTGCTGTGTTTGCTGTGACTGCTGTTGCTGCTGTGTTTGCTATGGCTGCTGCTGCTGCTGTGTTTGCTGTGACTGCTGTTGCTGTGTTTGCTGTGATTGCTGCTGCTGCTGTGTTTGCTGTGACTGCTGTTGCTGTGTTTGCTGTGGCTGCTGCTGCTGTGCTTGCTGTGACTGCTGCTGCTGCTGTGTTTGCTGTGGCTGCTGCTGCTGTGTTTGCTGTGACTGCTGCTGCTGCTGTGTTTGCTGTGGCTGCTGTGGCTGCTGTTGCTGCTGTGTTTGCTGTGACTGCTGCTACTGTGTTTGCTGTGATTGCTGCTGCTGCTGTGTTTGCTGTGGCTGCTGCTGCTGCTGTGTTTGCTGTGACTGCTACTGCTGTGTTTGCTGTGACTGCTGCTGCTGCTGTGTTTGCTGTGACTGCTGCTGCTGTGTTTGCTGTGACTGCTGCTGCTGTGTTTGCTGTGGCCGCTGCTGCTGTGTTTGCTGTGACTGCTGCTGCTGTGTTTGCTGTGGCTGCTGCTGCTGTGTTTGCTGTGACTGCTGCTACTGCTGTGTTTGCTGTGACTGCTGCTACTGCTGTGTTTGCTGTGACTGCTGCTGCTGCCGTGTTTGCTGTGACTGCTGCTGCTGTGTTTGCTGTGACTGCTGCTGCTGTGTTTGCTGTGACTGCTGCTGCTGTGTTTGCTGTGACTGCTGCTGCTGTGTTTGCTGTGATTGCTGTTGCTGCTGTGTTTGCTGTGGCTGCTGCTGCTGCTGCTGTGTTTGCTGTGACTGCTGCTGCTGTGTTTGCTGTGATTGCTGCTGCTGCTGTGTTTGCTGTGACTGCTGCTGCTGTGTTTGCTGTGGCTGCTGCTGCTGTGCTTGCTGTGACTGCTGCTGCTGCTGTGTTTGCTGTGGCTGCTGCTGCTGCTGTGTTTGCTGTGGCTGCTGCTGCTGCTGCTGCTGTGTTTGATGTGACTGCTGCTGCTGCTGTGTTTGCTGTGGCTGCTGTGTTTGCTGTGACTGCTGCTGCTGTGTTTGCTGTGATTGCTGCTGCTGTGTTTGCTGTGGCTGCTGCTGCTGCTGTGTTTGCTGTGACTGCTGCTGCTGTGTTTGCTGTGACTGCTGCTGCTGTGTTTGCTGTGACTGCTGCTGTGTTTGCTGTGACTGCTGCTGTGTTTGCTGTGGCCGCTGCTGCTGTGTTTGCTGTGACTGCTGCTGCTGTTTGCTGTGGCTGCTGCTGCTGTGTTTGATGTGGCTGCTGCTGCTGTGTTTGCTGTGACTGCTGCTGCTGTGTTTGCTGTGACTGCTGCTGCTGTGTTTGCTGTGACTGCTGCTGCTGCTGTGTTTGCTGTGGCTGCTGTTGCTGCTGTGTTTGCTGTGACTGCTGCTGATGCTGTGTTTGCTGTGATTGCTGCTGCTGCTGTGTTTGCTGTGACTGCTGCTGCTGTGTTTGCTGTGACTGCTGCTGCTGTGTTTGCTGTGACTGCTGTTGCTGCTGTGTTTGCTGTGACTGCTGCTGCTGTGTTTGCTGTGACTGCTGCTGTGTTTGCTGTGACTGCTGCTGCTGTGTTTGCTGTGACTGCTGCTGCTGCTGTGTTTGCTGTGACTGCTGCTGCTGTGTTTGCTGTGACTGCTGCTGCTGCTGTGTTTGCTGTGACTGCTGCTACTGCTGTGTTTGCTGTGACTGCTGCTACTGCTGTGTTTGCTGTGACTGCTGCTGCTGCTGCCATGTTTGCTGTGACTGCTGCTGCTGTGTTTGCTGTGACTGCTACTGCTGTGTTTGCTGTGAATGCTGCTGCTGTGTTTGCTGTGACTGCTGCTGCTGCTGTGTTTGCTGTGACTGCTGCTGCTGTGTTTGCTGTGATTGCTGCTGCTGCTGTGTTTGCTGTGACTGCTGCTGCTGTGTTTGCTGTGACTGCTGCTGCTGTGTTTGCTGTGGCTGCTGCTGCTGTGTTTGCTGTGGCTGCTGCTGCTGTGTTTGCTGCTGCTGCTGTGTTTGCTGTGGCTGCTGTTGCTGCTGTGTTTGCTGTGACTGTTGCTGCTGTGTTTGCTGTGATTGCTGCTGCTGTGTTTGCTGTGACTGCTGCTGCTGTGTTTGCTGTGGCTGCTGCTGCTGTGTTTGCTGTGACTGCCGCTGCTGTGTTTGCTGTGATTGCTACTGCTGTGTTTGCTGTGGCTGCTGCTGCTGTGTTTGCTGTGACTGCTGCTGCTGTGTTTGCTGTGACTGCTGCTGCTGCTGTGTTTGCTGTGGCTGCTGCTGCTGTGTTTCCTGTGGCTGCTGCTGCTGCTGCTGTGTTTGCTGTGGCTGCCGCTGCTGTGTTTGCTGTGTGCTGCTGCTGCTGTGTTTGCTGTGGCCGCTGCTGCTGCTGTGTTTGCTGTGACCTGCTGCTGCTGTGTTTGTTGTGACTGCTGCTGCTGTGTTTGCTGTGACTGCTGCTGTGTTTGCTGTGACTGCTGCTGCTGTGTTTGCTGTGACTGCTGCTGCTGCTGTGTTTGCTGTGGCTGCTGCTGCTGTGTTTGCTGTGGCTGCTGCTACTGCTGTGTTTGCTGTGGCTGCTGCTGCTGCCATGTTTGCTGTGACTGCTGCTGCTGTGTTTGCTGTGACTGCTGCTGCTGTGTTTGCTGTGTTTGCTGTGACTGCTGTGTTTGCTGTGAATGCTGCTGCTGTGTTTGCTGTGACTGCTGCTGCTGCTGCTGTGTTTGCTGTGACTGCTGCTGCTGTGTTTGCTGTGATTGCTGCTGCTGCTGTGTTTGCTGTGACTGCTGCTGCTGTGTTTGCTGTGACTGCTGCTGCTGTGTTTGCTGTGGCTGCTGCTGCTGTGTTTGCTGTGGCTGCTGCTGCTGTGTTTGCTGCTGCTGCTGTGTTGCTGTGGCTGCTGTTGCTGCTGTGTTTGCTGTGACTGTTGCTGCTGTGTTTGCTGTGATTGCTGCTGCTGTGTTTGCTGTGACTGCTGCTGCTGTGTTTGCTGTGGCTGCTGTGTTTGCTGTGACTGCCGCTGCTGTGTTTGCTGTGATTGCTACTGCTGTGTTTGCTGTGGCTGCTGCTGTGTTTGCTGTGACTGCTGCTGCTGTGTTTGCTGTGACTGCTGCTGCTGTATTTGCTGTGACTGCTGCTGCTGTGTTTGCTGTGGCTGCTGCTGCTGCTGCTGTGTTTGCTGTGGCTGCTGCTGCTGTGTTTGCTGCTGCTGTTGCTGTGTTTGCTGTGGCTGCTGCTGCTGTGTTTGCTGTGTTTGCTGCTGCTGTGTTTGCTGTGGCCGCTGCTGCTGCTGTGTTTGCTGTGACTGCTGCTGCTGTGTTTGTTGTGACTGCTGCTGCTGCTGTGTTTGCTGTAGCCGCTGCTACTGCTGTGTTTGCTGTGACTGCTGCTGCTGCTGTGTTTGTTGTAGCTGCTGCTGTGTTTGCTGTGACTGCTGCTGCCGTGTTTGCTGTGGCTGCTGCTGCTGCTGTGTTTGCTGTGACTGCTGCTGCTGTGTTTGCTGTAACTGCTGCTGCCGTGTTTGCTGTGGCTGATGCTATGTTTGATGTGGCCGCTGCTGCTGCTGCTGTGACTGCTGCTGTGTTTGCTGTGACTGCTGCTGCCGTGTTTGCTGTGACTGCTGCTGCTGTGTTTGCTGTGACTGCTGCTGTTGTGTTTGCTGTGACTGCTGCTGCTGTGTTTGCTGTGACCGCTGCTGTTGTGTTTGATGTGGCCGCTGCTGCTGTGTTTGCTGTGGCTGCTGCTGTGTTTGCTGTGGCTGCTGCTGCTGTGTTTGCTGTGGCTGCTGCTGCTGCCGTGTTGTTGTGACTGCTGCTGCTGTGTTTGCTGTGACTGCTGCTGCTGTGTTTGCTGTGACTGCTGCTACTGTGTTTGCTGTGACTGCTGCTGCTGCTGCTGTGTTTGCTGTGGCTGCTGCTGCTGCTGCTGTGTTTGCTGTGACTGCTGCTGCCGTGTTTGCTGTGACTGCTGCTGCTGCTGCTGCTGTGTTTGCTGTGACTGCTGCTGCCGTGTTTGCTGTGACTGCTACTGCTGTGTTTGCTGTGACTGCTGCTGCTGTGTTTGCAGTGACTGCTGCTGTGTTTGCTGTGACTGCTGCTGCTGTGTTTGCTGTGACTGCTGCTGCCGTGTTTGCTGTGGTCGCTGCTGCTGTGTTTGCTGTGACTGCTGCTGCTGTGTTTGCTGTGACTGCTGCTGCTGTGTTTGCTGTGACTGCTGCTACCGTGTTTGCTGTGACTGCTACTGCTGTATTTGCTGTGGCTGCTGCTGCTGTGTTTGCTGTGACTGCTGCTGCTGCTGTGTTTGCTGTGACTGCTGCTGCTGTGTTTGCTGTGACTGCTGCTGATGTGTTTGTTGTGACTGCTGCTACTGCTGTGTTTGCTGTGACTGCTGCTACTGCTGTGTTTGCTGTGACTGCTGCTGATGTGTTTGTTGTGACTGCTGCTACTGCTGTGTTTGCTGTGACTGCTGCTACTGCTGTGTTTGCTGTGACTGCTGCTGCTGCCGTGTTTGCTGTGACTGCTGCTGCTGTGTTTGCTGTGACTGCTGCTGTTGTGTTTGCTGTGACTGCTGCTGCTGCCGTGTTTGCTGTGACTGCTGCTGCTGTGTTTGCTGTGACTGCTGCTGCTGTGTTTGCTGTGACTGCTGCTGCTGTGTTTGCTGTGACTGCTGCTGATGTGTTTGCTGTGACTGCTGCTACTGCCGTGTGTGCTGTGGCTGCTGCTGCTGTGTTTGCTGTGACTGCTGCTGTGTGTTTGCTGTGACTGCTGCTGCTGCCGTGTTTGCTGTGACTGCTGCTGCTGTGTTTGCTGTGACTGCTGCTGCTGTGTTTGCTGTGACTGCTGCTGCTGTGTTTGCTGTGACTGCTGCTGCTGTGTTTGCTGTGACTGCTGCTGATGTGTTTGCTGTGACTGCTGCTGTCGTGTTTGCTGTGACTGGCTGCTGCTGTGTTTGCTGTGACTGCTGCTGCTGTGTTTTGCTGTGGCTGCTGCTGCTATGTTTGCTGTGCTGCTGCTGCTGTGTTTGCTGTGCTGCTGCTGCTGTGTTTGCTGTGACTGCTGCTACTGCTGTGACTGCTGCTGCTGCCGTGTTTGCTGTGACTGCTGCTGCTGTGTTTGCTGTGACTGCTGCTGCTGTGTTTGCTGTGACTGCTGCTGCTGCTGTGTTTGCTGTGACTGCTGCTGCTGTTTTTGCTGTGACTGCTGCTGCTGTGTTTGCTGTGGCTGCTGTGTTTGCTGTGACTGCTGCTGCTGTGTTTGCTGTGCTCGCGGCTGCTATGGATGTTGCTGCTGTTCCATGGCAGCACCGAATTATTTGCATGATTCTTGGGCTGCTAAACGTCACATAGATCATAAAAAAGTGTTCGATAATTGTTATCGTAATGAAGAGCGACCGTTTCACACAAGGCACGGGGATTTTCTCTCCGCGCTCTGCTGCTGCTGCTTCTGGGTGTAAAGGCAAAGGCGCAGGACTTGCAATTGCTCGCTCACGCACCTGCCGTCGGATCTGTGGTAAGACAAAATAGAGCCACTCATCACGTGTTGCATTACGTTGAACGTCTTTCGCACCGTACATAGCAAACCGCGCCAATCGGAGGTGCGGGTGTTCACGCGAGATATCACTGGGGCCTCACTTTGTGAACGACCGCCCACTGACATGTTTCTGACGGTGGGCTACCGGCGCTTCGCCGTGCTGAAGATGATGCTGTTGGTTGGCTCGGCACACAGTGCAAACACCAATAATAATAATAATTGCTGGGGCCCACGGTCAGACCCGTGTCGGGTTAAAGTGTGTGAGCCCCCCCCCCCCATTCCCCCAATGACCCCCCCAGACTTCCCCCTGCGCCCCTCCTACTCCGACCCTCTCCTGACTCCCTGGTGGCCCCTGCTGACCCGTGGCCTCCCCTGGGTCGTGATCTCTGACCCCGGCTCGAGGCGCTGCCCCTCCCCATCGCAGCGCATGTCTTCATTCGCTCACAGTGTCAGTCTTAAAAGATAAAGAAATAAATAGCAACTGACCAAGCATCTCCATCGCTGGACCCAAGCCAACGAAAAAAATGCCTTGAGACTCAGGCGTTTGCGTGCGTAAACACGAGATGATGCAAATTAGTAAAGTATTAATTCCAGACCCGAGTGTTTGGCTGCCCAGCGGGACACGACACCCCAGGCTTCCTCTTCTCTCCCTCGCTGTTGTTGTCGTGTTGTTGTTGTTGCTGTCTTTTTATGTATTTATCTTTCCGTTTCATCCGTATAATTTATGCGGGAGATGTAAAATATTTTAAAATTTCCCGTTTCATCCAAATACATTCCAACTCGTATCCACTCCTCTCTCTTTTCTCTCCCGCATTCCCCTCACCTCCACCCCCCACTCATCTCCCCCCTCCCCCTTCTCTCCCCAGCCTATTTATTGTTTCAAGAGATGAAGCCTCTTCCCCGAGGCGGGGGTTGGGACGGGGTCACACGCGGCTGCCGAGCCCCGTGGCAAGATTAACGAGGCCCCTTCAGCAGCGATTAGGCCCCCAGCGCGCGCTCCATCAGGGCCCACCGGGAGGGCGCTCACCCACCGTGGGCCGCGGGGATGATGATGACGACGATGTTGCTGATGATGATGACGACGATGTTGCTGATGATGATGATGACGACGATGTTGCTGATGATGATGATGACGACGATGTTGCTGATGATGATGATGACGACGATGTTGTTGTTGATGATGATGATGACGACGATGTTGCTGATGATGATGATGACGACGCCGCTGCTGCTACTGATGATGACGATGGTGCTGATATATTCCTGATTTTGTTGCAGTGTCGGCTGATGTTGCTCCGACAGCAAAAGATGATGCTGATGATGAAGCTGCTGCTGCTGATGATTATGATAGTGCTGATATTCATGTTTTTGTTGAAGTGTCTGCTGACGTTGCTGTTATCGCGAATGATGATGCTGATGATGATATTGCTGATATTCTTGCTAATGCTTTTGTAGCCGTGTCTAATATGGTTGCTCCGACTGCGAAAGATGATGCTGATGTTCCTGCTGATGCTACTGATTGATACTGATTGTGTTACCAATAACGATGCCGCTCCATGTGGTGGTGCTGCTGAGAATTACGCTGCTGCTACCGCTGCAGTAATGATGCTGCTGCTACTGCACGTGGCGCTGATGCTACTGCTGCTGCTGATGATGACGGTGCTGATGATGACTGTGCTGATGATGATGATGCGACCAGTGCTCATATTGCTGCCACTGCTGCTGCCACTGCGTCTGTTACCGTGATTCCAATCTGTGCATGACGAGCAGTCGGCACCAACAATCGTCTCAGCTGTGCGGTCCTCTCTATATTTGAAGATGTCAGCGGCCAATCAAATGGGCGTGCGTGTAGAGGAAGCTGCCAGCCTTATCCAGACCACCAAGCTCAAAAGAACTGAGTTGTGTGTCCGCGATGTCGTTTGGGACCACCGACTCGAAGAGGTGGGTGGTCACGTGGCCATCGCAGCGGGGGGGGCGGGGGGGGGCATCAGTGACACCAAGCACACAGATGGTAGGGCAAG